GGCAATAGTTCTTGATTTATACTCATATCACCAATCATAGTAACCCTACAGGACAGGGTGGAACTGCCCAATAGAGTTGCCAAGGCTATAAGTATTTATGGAAACAAGCTGCATCATCTTTTTCCAAAAGAGCAGCTGGGGGTTCGAATTCTGTTTCATGGTTGTTTGTAATTTGAAACAGTATGAACAAACATTTCTCAGTGTATGTTCTTTATAACACATGTCCATCAAAAAGGTACCCTTTGGTTAGCAGCCAAATGCTTAATTACTATGTAACTATGTTGTTTTTATTGCTTTCTTGACTGCTGTTTCCAAGAGTGTTAATAGTTGATCCTAGGAGAATGAAGTCCTTGATAAGTTCAATCTTTTCTCCATTGATAAGAATGTTGTTTATTGGTCCAGTGGTGACGATTTTGTTTTCTTTACATTGAGATGCAATCCATACCAAAGGCTGTACTCTTTTGAACTTCATCAGTAAATTTTTTAAGTCCTCTTCACTTTCAGCAAGCAGGGTTGTATTATCTGCATATCGCAGGTTGTTAGTGACTCTTCCTCCAATCCTGATATCACGTTTCTCCTATATAATCCAGCTTCTGGGATTGTTTGCTCAGCATACAGGTTGAATAAGTATGGTGAAAGAACACAACCCTATCACAGACCTTTCTTAATTTTAAACCATTCAGTGTTCCCATGTTCTGTTCTAACAATTGCCAGTTGGTCCATCTACAGATTCCTCATGAGCACAATTAAGTGTTCTGGAATACTCATACTTCTCAGTGTTGTCCGTAGCTTGTCATGATCCACACAATCGAAAGTCTTTGTGTAGTCAATAAAGCACAGGTAAACATCTTTCTGGTATTCTCTGCTTTCATCCAAGATCCTTCAGCAATGATATCTCTCATTCCACGTCCTCTTCTGAATCCAGCTTGAGCCTCTGGAAGTTCTCTGTCAATGTATGATTGCAGCCATGTCTGTATTACCTTTAGCAAAACATTACTCAAAGGAGATATCAAAGATATTGTCTGATGGTTTCCGCATTCTGTTGGGTCACCTTTCTCTGGAATGGGCACAAATACAGATCTCTTCTGATCAGTTGGCCAGTTAGTTGTTTTCCAAATTTTTTGGCATAGATGAGTGAGTGCCTCTTGTGCCGCCTCACTTTCTTGAAAGATTTCAATTTTTATTCCATCAATTCCTGATGCCTTGTTCTTTGCCAGTTGCTTCAATGCACCTTGGACTTCCTCTTTCAGTATCATTGGCTCTTGATCACATGGTGCCTCTTGAAATGGTTGAACATAAACCATTTCCTTTTGGTACAGTGACTATGTGTATTCCTTCCATCTTCTTTTCATGCTTTCTGCATCATTCAATAATTTTCCCAGAGAATCTTTCAATAACTAAATTCGAGGCTTGAATTTTTTCTTCAGTTCCCCCAGCTTGAGAAATGCTGAGCGTGCTCTTCCTTTTTGGTTTTTCTGATTCCAGATCTTTGCACATTTTGTTGGCTTTATATTTGTACAATATTTGGCTTTATCTTCTTGAGCTGATCTTCGGAAATTTCTGTTTAGCTCTTGGACCTCTTCATTTCTTCCATTTGCTTTAGCATCTCTACTCTGGAGAGCAAGTTTCAGAGTCTCTTCTGACATCCATTTTGACCTTTTCCTTCTTTCTTGTCTTCTCAATGATTTTTTTTTTTTTTTTTTTTGCTTTCTTCATGCATGATGTTCTTGATGCCATCCCAGAGTAGCATAGTCCTATAAGCCCAAGAACTGAGAAAAGCAATGTGCCTGCGGACAGAATGCTGGCTTGTATAATGCACCCTTTGGACATATAAAAGAATATATATTTTCAATGTGGTATGTGTATACCAAGAAAAAAGGTAATAAAGATAAATATTATTTACTGAAGGTACATGGAGAGATTTTTAATCATTGTAATAATTTACTGAATGTAAAAGTGATGATCTTCCCTGTAACCATCACTCGCTGAATTCACAATAAAAGCTGTAAAGAAAATAAAAAGTTACCTGTTATGGATTGGACTGTGTCCCTGGACATGTGTTATAAATCCATATACCTATGATTATAATCTCATATTGGGAATAGGTTTTTTTGGTGTTGTTATATTAAAAGGCCATTATCTCTTTAGGGTGTGTTTAAGCCAATCAATAACTTTTTAGACAGGAAAAAAGTAGATTAGGGAAAGCAAACAAGCAGAGATAAAGAGAGAAGATAAATTTTAGGACCACTTAGATATGCAGTAAATGTTTATGGAGTTGGGAAATTATCAAAGGATACCCAGTAACCATATGTCACTTCATTCATTAATCAGGTAAAGAGAGAAGGACAACATGATGAAATTAGTCAAAATACAGAAAAGCTGGAAAGGATAAACAGAGAAAAGAGGGAGAGAGAAAGAAAAGGGTGAAAGGGAGAAATGAAAAGGAAGTGGCCATATGGAAATTATAGGGATGAAGACCACAGCCAACAGAGAAAGTATTCCCACTGAACCAGCACTCTGAATTTGAACACCTAACCTCCTAACACCTAAGGAGCTCTGGTAGCGTAGTGGTTACGAATCGGGCTGTGAACCTTAAGGTCAGCGGTTCGAAACTACCAGCCGCTCCGCGGGAGAAAGATGAGGCTTTCTACTCCCGTAAAGATTTACACCCTCGGAAACCCTGTACAGGGTCGCTATGGGTCGGAACCGACTCGACGGCACTTAACAACAACAACAACAACCTCCTAAACTGTGAGAAAATAAATTTGTTTGTTAAATCCATGGACTTGATATATTTTGGTTATTGTCATTGTCGTTGTTGTTACATACCATGGAGTCAATTCTGACTCATAGCAAACCCGTGTAGGGTTTCCAAGGCTCTAAATCTTTGAGGGAGCAGAAAGCCTCATTTTTCTCCTTCAGAGTGGTTGCTGGTCTTGAATCACAAGCATTTGAATTAAAAGCATTGTGATTCTCTGTCCAATGTTTACGGTATGGAGCCACCGCAAAGCACTAGGTAAATAAGATAGCACCTCGCTAAAAAAAAAAAAAAAAGATCTGTTGTTAACTAAATGAGGAAAAAATGACTTGATAGTATAACCTCTCTGGGAAATTCACAATGGGTGTTACCAAATGGAAGCGCTGAATGATTGAAAGGTAGTGAGCCAACATATTTAACTTTAAAAACCTACATTGTCTGCTCTGTAAGTGTATCTATTCATATCCATGGATTGCACTTTGGGAAAGATTGATTATGTTTTTTTATAATGGTTACGAGTCGGGCTGCCAACCTCAAGGTCAGCAGTTCGAAACTACCAGCTGTTGCGCAGGCTAAAGATGATGTTTTCTGCTCCCATAAAGATTTATAGCCTAGGAAACCCTGTGCAGGGTCACTATGAGTCGGAACTAATTTCACGGTTAACAACAACAACAACCCTTGAAAGATCTCTGGTAGCGTAGTGATTACAATCGGGCTGAGAACTGCAAGGTCAGCAGTTCGAAACTACCAGCTGTTCCATGGGAGAAAGATGACGCTTTCTGCTCCCGTAAAGATGTATAGTCTCGGAAACGCTGTACAGAGTTGCTGGGAGTCAGAACCGACTCCACAGCACATGACCACCAACCACCAACAACCCTTAAATATTTCTCCTCTTCAGAGAATGAAAGCAGTGGACTGTAATAGTTAGATATATGTACTTTAGACTCAAACAGCCTGGGTACAAATCCCAAGTCTGCTATTTTACAGCTGTATGACTTTGAGTAAATGATTTAACCTCTCTAAACCTCAGTTTCTGCATCTCTAAAATGGATATCACCATGGTAACCAATCTCCACGGTTTGTGCAGAAAACGTAAATGATTGTTTCTATAAATCCCTTAGCACAGTACCTGACATAGAAAAAAAAAAAAAAAACCTAAAAAAATTTTTTATAATTATTATAGTATTGTTACAATTAAAATGGCTTGTGGGTCTACATTAAGTGGCTGATGAACATGGAGGTCATTATTGTGATTTCCCTTCTGAAGGTGTCATTTGGAAGCAGTACATTTGCACTGATAATGACTCTCTCAATAGGCCGAATTTCACACCAAGAAACTGCTCCGTATCTGGCCTAGCATATGAAATCCAAACTCCCTTGGAAACAAACTGCAGAAACAGAGCGCCTTCCTTTTCATTTCCTCCTTTCAACCTTTTCCTTTCTCTCTTCCTCTCTTCTCTGTTTATGCTTTCTAGCTTTTCTAGTGCTTTGACTAATTTCATCATGTTTTCCCTCTCTCCTTATCTGATTAATGAATGAAGTGACTTATGGTTACCTGGGTATGCTTTACTAACTTCCCAATTCAAAGAACATTTACGACTCCTAGCACCCATTTATGACTCCTAGCACCCATTTCCAGGATACGACTTTGCCAAAGGGCTTAATCTGAATGTTTACATGAGGAGACAGTATGAAAATAAGTGGCTTCTTTGGCATGTCACCTGGTAAAAAGGCTGAAATTAAAGAAGACTGTTGGTTAAGAGAGAATGCAAGCACAACAGGACTAAGTCATAGACCTAGAAGCAAAGGTTGAGTTTTTCTGGTGTTAAGCACACCTCTTTCCTAAACGCTGTCTTCCTGAAAGCTGCTGACAGAGCTTTGGCAACAGATCATCTAGTTAGCTGATAGACCAAGCCCTGTTTTATATTTAACTCACTATAGTGCAGGAGGAGTAAGGGTGGGGAAGTGTTGCTTATAAGGGGAACTGTAACAATATCTCGTCAGTCCTCTTCCTCCGGCTCAGCTCTTCTTTCAGACTCGGTTCCCCACGCCCCTTGTTCTCACATTCATCCTTGCTTGAGTGTGGGAATGTGAAAGGAGAAGAAAAGACCAGAGAGCGGTGTGGGAAAAAACGAAAACAGACTGCCAGACCAGGGAATTCTTTCCATAAAGGAAGTCAACTGACCTTATTTAGTTAAATTTAACATCCTTGAAAGTGTAACGTTAGACTGGTCAAACAAAAATGAACTTTGCGGAGGGCGAAGACTCTAAAAGATATTGCATTAAAACCAAACATGTGATTATTATCTGTGCCGTCGTTGTGGGAGTAGGATTAATAGTGGGACTTTCCGTGGGTCTGACAAGATCGTGTGACTGCAGTGGAGATTCCGGCCAGAGCTCGACTCCGTCTCCTTCCACTGAGACACCTCCACAGGACCAGGGAGTCTGTCCTGCCAGTGACGACGAGAGTGGACAGTGGAAAAACTTCCGATTGCCGGACTTCATCAACCCTGTGCACTACGATCTGCAGGTGAAACCCCTGTTAGAGGAGGACACTTACACTGGAAGGGTGACCATCTCCATCAACGTGAGCGCGCCCACCCGGCATCTATGGCTGCACCTCCGGGAGACAAGAATCACCCAGCTCCCAATGCTGAAGAAGCCCAACGGGGAGCAGGTACAAGTCAGGAGGTGTTTTGAGTACAAAAAGCAGGAATACGTAGTGGTGGAGGCAGAAGAAGAGCTTCTACCCAGCACTGGCAATAGTACCTACCTCTTGACCCTGGAGTTCGCGGGATGGCTGAACGGCTCCCTAGTGGGGTTTTATAGAACAACATACGTGGAGAAAGGAGCAATCAAGTAAATATTAATTTTGTCTTTATTTCTCCTAAACTCACTTAAATCTGCTCGCCATTTCTTTCCCTTTCCTATTCACACTCCAACTTTTAATTAATTTGTTGACTTTCCTTTTCACTTGCCAATTTTAATTAGTTTGTTGGCCTAATCTTTCTCTATTTTGGTTTCAAATTTACCTATTCGTCTGGGAAGTAAAAAAAAATCTTGCACCATTGTGTTTTCAAACCCACCATAAAGTTTGAGAGCAGTGAATGATCTGCACTGAACCAAAACTTGGTGCTAATTCTTTTATTCCAATTAGAGAAATAATTATTGCATACCATTCTTAATATTTGCGTATGCTGCTTAATGTTTTAAAAATACATGTGCCATCAATTTCACTAATAATATTCCTAGGATATATGGTAAAGATTTGAAATTGGACTTTATGCCAATGATTTATTTTGTCAGTTTTATTGCAGAAGAGATACATTGAATAAATTGCACAAAACCCAAGGTATTTTTATACATCTTCATCCAAGGAGGAAAGCAGAACTGTGCTTTAGTTCTCTTAAACAGCCAGCAACTTACTTTACACATAGGATTTCAATAAATACTCATTGAATCCACAAGTCAGGAGTGGCAGCACCATGGATAAATCTCTTGACATGTTGCCCATCATGCGATGTAATTTTAAGCCCTTTTGCAATATGGAAGATATTTTAAATAATGAAGTACATACAAATGTTTCCTGACCACACGAGATTGAGAGGTGTGAGTATATACATATATATAGTTATAAAGACATAAACTTGCACTGAACTCAAAAAGCCATCACACTCTGGGCATGGACCTTTGCATCAGGGAAGAGTGCTACACCTGAGCTGTGACTGATCTTAACTGCATCAACCTTTGCCCACTAGATTCTGAACAACTAATGATTGAGGAAACTGGTGCTAGAGTTCAGAAATATGAGCCTGGGACAAGTCCACCGAATATCCCTTTTATATCCCTATGTGGTGCTGTGGGGTAATGCACGGTACTGCAAGGTTGGTTTGAACCTCACGTTTGGTGGTTCAAATTCACCAGCCGCTCTTGGGAAATCCTATATAGGGTGTCTATGAGTCAGAAACAACACAAAGATAATGTATTGTTTTAGGGGGTATGCTGATATGTCTGATTAGTGTTGGGCTGTAAACCACAAGGTTGGCCGTTTGAGCCCATCAGCCACTCTCCAGGAGAAAAATTAGGCTTTCTGATACTGCAAAGATTTACATCACAGGGAATCCTATACATGGTCACTATGAGTTGAAACTGACTCCACAGTATTTATGAACAACAACAATGTTGTTAAACATAAAATTAACTTGTTGGTCAAATTTTTTCCTGTTAATTGTCAGAGAATTCTGAATTATGAGAAATGATTAAATACTCCTGTATTACTGTGTATACTAATTAATTGAGTAGCAATGATAATTGAAGAAGATATTTGGAGGGATGGTGCTGACATAGACACTTTATCTTAGTATCACTAGCAATAAAATAATCCTCTCTAATGCTTGGGTGTATTTTTTCTGTTTATAAAAAATTATACATAAAGCATAAAAATTATTTAAAAAAAGAAAACCAAAAGAACCTATAAATTTCACCACCCAGTGGCATTATTAACATATTGATATATAGGCAACCAATTAGTAATTGCATTATATCAATATAGCTTTATGTATGCTTTTTTTTAAATTGCCTGAATGGTATAAATGATCCAGTGACTGGTCCCTCCTGACATTATGTCCAAACTATGAGAGACAAAGCTTGGCCATCCTGGCCTCCAAGGAGCACTCTGACTGTACTTCTTCCAACACAGATCTGTTTGTTCTTTTGGCAGCCCATGGCACTTTCAATATTCTCCTCCAACTCCAATACATCAGTTCTTGTACAGTCTTCCTTATTCACTGTGCAGCTTTCGCATGCATATGAGGTTATTGAAAATACCATGGCCATGGCTTGGGTCAGGTGCACCTTAGTCCTCAAGTTGATATCTTTGCTCTTTAACAATTTAAAAAAAGATGTTGTGCAGCAGATTTGCCTAATGCAATACGTCATCTGATTTCTTGACTGCTGCTTCCATGAGTGTTAATGGTTGATCCAAGAAGAATGAAGTCCTTGACAACTTCAATCTTTTCTCTGTTGATCAGAATATTGTTTGTTGGTCCAGTGGTGAGGATTTTTGTTTTCTTTATATTGAGATGCAATCTGTACTGAAGACTGTGCTCTTTGGTCTTCATCCATAAATATTTTAAGTCCTCTTCACTTTCAGCAAGCAAGGTTGTATCATCTGCATATAGCAATCTTGATGCCACATTTTTCTTCATATAACCCAGCTTATTAGATTATTTGCTCAACATACAAGTTGAATAAATATGGTGAAAGAATATAACCCTGTTGAATCATTCAGTATTTCCATGTTCTTTATGAACAACCTCCTCTTGGTCCAGGTACAGATTCCTCATGAGCACAATTAAGAGTTCCAGTATATTCTTACTTCTCAATATTGTCTATGGCTTCTCATGATCAACACAATCTAAAGCCTTCATGTAGTCAATGAAGCATAGGTAAACATGTTTCTGTTATTTCTAATTTTAGCCAAGATCCATAGGACATCAGCAATGATAATGCTTTTTCCACGTCCTCTTCTGAATCCTGCTTGAGCTTCTGGAAGTTCTCTGTCAATATATGGTTGCAGCCATTTCTGTATTACCTTTAGTAAAACTTTACTCGCATGGGATATTAAAGAGATTGTCCGATGATTTCCGCATTCTATTGGGTCACTGCTCTTTGGAATGTGCACAAATATGGATCTGTTTTGATCAGTAGGCCAGTTTGTTGTCTTCCAAATTTCTTGGCATAGATGAGTGAGTGCCTCTAGTGCCGCCTCAGTTTCTTGAATATATGCATATGAGTATGTGTATTATATATACATGTATATGTATTGTTTTTGTTAAGTGCTTTTGAGTTGTTTCTGACCCAGAGTGACCCTATATAGCGTTTCTAAGGAATGGCTGGTGAGCTTGAACTGCCAACTTTGCAGTCCAGCACATTAACCCACAGCACCACACCAGGACTGTATATTGTTGTTATGTGCCATGGATTTGGTTCCGGCTCATAGTGCCCCTGTATAGAGTTTCCGAGGCTATAAATCTTTATGGGAGCAGAAAGCCTTATCTTTCTCCCATGGAACAGCTGGTAGTTTTGAACTGCTAACTGTGAGATTAGCAGTCTGATTCGTAACCACTAAGCTACTAGAGTGATCTCTCTCTCTGTCTCTCTCTCTGTCTCTC